AAGAGACCATACAATAAGTGTCAGGGGCCCGAGACTTTTCAACTGCCTCCCAGCATACATAAGGGGAAATACCAACAGACCCCTGGCAGTCGGTTCCTGATCAGCCGGGCTGTGGCTCGTACGTTGGTTTGCGTGCAGCCAGCAGTAACAGCCTGGTTGATCAGGCTCTGATCCACCATGAGGCCTGGTCACAGACCGGGCCAGGGGGGCGTTGACCCCCGGAACTCTCTCCAGGTAAACTCCAGGTACCTAGAGTGATTAACTCTCTCTCTCTCTCTCTCTCTCTCTCTCTCTCTCTCTCTCTCTCTCTCTCTCTCTCTCTCTCTCTCTCTCTCTCTCTCTCTGTCCTCCCCTTCCGTATCATTGTTCTGTCTCTCATAAGTGAGGTGGTGAATGGTGGTAGATGTAGATAGTAGTAGGGATGGTGGTAGGTGGTGGCAGCTGCACAATGATGAGACATCCTCCTCCTCCTCCTCCTCCTCCTCCTCCTCCTGCTGCTGCTGCTGCTGCTGCTGGTGCTGCTGGTGCTGGTGCTGCTGCTGCTGCTGCTGCTGCTGCTGCTGCTGCTGCTGCTGCTGCTGCTGCTGCTGCTGCTGCTGCTGCTGCTATAAACAACAGCGTAAAGCTAAAAATTCTCGATTAAATAAACCGTGCTTGGCAGCTACCTCAGGCAAAAAATGAAATGAACCAGGAAAAGTAATTCGCTTCTTGAGTTTTCTTCTCCGTTTAACTATTTGGTTTAAAAGCTACCGACTAAATGAGGACCATTAATGCTGCGTGTCATATGTACTCCACCAGTCAGGGTGTTTACTGTGTATGCTAATACACACAGACACACACTCTCTCACACACACACACACACACACACACACACACACACACACACCCACAGACACACACCCACAGACACACAGACACACACCCACAGACACACACCCACAGACACACACCCACAGACACACACCCACAGACACACACCCACAGACACACACCCACAGACACACACCCACAGACACACCCACAGACACACCCACAGACACACCACAGACACACACACCACAGACACACACCCACAGACACACACACACAGGTATATAATATATATATATACATATATATACATTATATATATATATATTATTTTTTTATTATCACACTGGCCGATTCCCACCAAGGCAGGGTGGCCCGAAAAAGAAAAACTTTCACCATCATTCACTCCATCACTGTCTTGCCAGAAGGGTGCTTTACACTACAGTTTTTTAAACTGCAACATTAACACCCCTCCTTCAGAGTGCAGGCACTGTACTTCCCATTCCAGGACTCAAGTCCGGCCTGCCGGTTTCCCTGAATCCCTTCATAAATGTTACTATATATATATATATATATATATATATATATATATATATATATATATTATATATATATATATATATATATATATATATATATATATAAATGTTACTATATATATATATATATATATATATATATATATATATATATATATATATATATATATATATATATATATATATATATGAGCAAAGTAACATATATATATATATATATATATATATATATATATATATATATATATATATATATACATGTATATATATATATCCTTCCAAATTTTTAGCTAGAAATAATGTCTTCTGTAGAGTCTACAGAAGCTACCACATTATTATAAAATTCTTGGGGAAGCGCTAAATCCGTATGGACCATGCAGTGTCTGGGGAATAAGAGGCATTTGAGTTTGATCGATGGAAGTGGTGGGTAGCTCCAATTCCGTGGTTCAAGAGCCCTTCGCCAGCATCAAGGAACCAACCATGAAGGCAGCATGACCATCGTCTACCCACAATACCCCTGTATACCCCTTGTGGCTTAGCGCTTCTTTTTTGTTATAATAATACCCACAATACCCACCAACTATTATTTTTTTCAAACTTTTTTTTTTTTTTTTGGGCAACTCGGGAAAAACAGGTGTGTTTTTTGTCAAGTAAAATGACACGTAACACAAAGCAAGCCTTCATTTTGAGACGTTTCGCTCATCCTGAGCGAAACATCTCTTTAAAACTATTTGTCGGCATTTACCACGAAAGAAAATTTTTGTTTTGATAAAACGTTAATATTATCAGGATAAAACATGTAAAATATTTCTACTCAAAACAGATCATTATTTACGAGTACAAAGTTGTAACATTAATTTACGAGTACAAAGTTGTAACATTAATTTACGAGTACAAAGTTGTAACATTAATTTACGAGTACAAAGTTGTAACATTAATTTACGAGTACAAAGTTGTAACATTAATTTACGAGTACAAAGTTGTAACATTAATTTACGAGTACAAAGTTGTAACATTAATTTACGAGTACAAAGTTGTAACATTAATTTACGAGTACAAAGTTGTAACATTAATTTACGAGTACAAAGTTGTAACATTAATTTACGAGTACAAAGTTGTAACATTAATTTACGAGTACAAAGTTGTAACATTAATTTACGAGTACAGAGTTGTAACATTAATTTACGAGTACAAAGTTGTAACATTAAAATTAAACAATATGTATTCTCTTATTTTAGGGATGAAAGTCAGCCTTAATTACTCCTGGTGTTAACGACTCCTAGTGTTAACGACTCCTAGTGTTAACGACTCCTAGTGTTAACGACTCCTAGTGTTAACGACTCCTAGTGTTAACGACTCCTAGTGTTAACGACTAATATTAACGACTCCTAGTGTTAACGACTAATGTTAACGACTCGTAGTGTTAATGACTAATGTTAACGACTCCTAGTGTTAATGACTAATGTTAACGACTCCTAGTGTTAATGACTAATGTTAACGACTCCTAGTGTTAACGACTAATGTTAACGACTCGTAGTGTTAATGACTAATGTTAACGACTCCTAATGTTAATGACTCCGGTGTTGATATTTTAAATCTCATTAACCAACTTAACGCTATACATTATATAAATAGGAGAACGCTAAACCCATAGGGGGTCATACAGCTTTGATTCTAGGAAGAGGATTATTATATTTGTAGGGAGCACTAAACCTTTAAGGATCACATACCACCTGGGGAATGGGAAGTAAAGAGAATTGATCACAGGAAGATGTGTTGCTGGGGTTCCTGGGAGCTACCGGATCAAGAGCCGCTCACCGGCGTCAAGGCACCTCTCGAGAGGACAATAATGATATAGGATGAATGACACTGTAGCACCTTACCTTGCACTCTCAGTGGTCGGTTGTAGCACTTTGCACTCTCAGTGGTCGGTTGTAGCACTTTAGCTTGCACTCTCAGTAGTCGGTTGTAGCACTTTAGCTTGCACTCTCAGTGGTCGGTTGTAGCACCTTACCTTGCACTCTCAGTGGTCGGTTGTAGTACTTTACCTTGCACTCTCAGTAGTCGGTTGTAGCACTTTACCTTGCACTCTCAGTAGTCGGTTGTAGCACTTTACCTTGCACTCTCAATGGTCGGTTGTAGCACTTTACCTTGCACTCTCAATGGTCGGTTGTAGCACTTTACCTTGCACTCTCAGTGGTCGGTTGTAGCACTTTGCACTCTCAGTGGTCGGCTGTAGCACTTTACCTTGCACTCTCAATGGTCGGTTGTAGCACTTTACCTTGCACTTTCAGTGGTCGGTTGTAGCACTTTGCACTCTCAGTGGTCGGTTGTAGCACTTTACCTTGCACTCTCAGTGGTCGGTTGTAGCACTTTACCTTGCACTCTCAGTGGTCGGTTGTAGCACTTTACCTTGCACTCTCAGTGGTCGGTTGTAGCACTTTACCTTGCACTCTCAGTGGTCGGTTGTAGCACTTTACCTTGCACTCTCAGTGGTCGGTTGTAACACTTTACCTTGCACTCTCAGTGGTCGGTTGTAGCACTTTACCTTGCACTCTCAGTGGTCGGTTGTAGCACTTTACCTTGCACTCTCAGTGGTCGGTTGTAGCACTTTACCTTGCACTCTCAGTGGTCGGTTGTAGCACTTTACCTTGCACTCTCAGTGGTCGGTTGTAACAATTTACCACCCTTCAAGGGAGGTTCCTGGACGCTGGTGAGGGGCTCTTGATCTAGGGAATTGGATCTGTGCTCCTCCTGTTCCCTGAATTGAGCCTGAATACCTTCCACCCCTCCCCAAATGAGCTGTATAATCCTACAGGTTTAGCGCTCCCCCATAATTATAATTTACCTTGTGCTCCCAGCCTCCCTCGTACGTTTACCCTCTTTAACCGGTCAAGAGAAGTGCGTTAGTGTTGATCAAGGTCTCTTGTGCTAAGAAATTTAAGCTACCCTCCCCTTCCTGGAATAAAATCCTATGACCTGTTCCCCAGCCACTATACTGTCGTTATTGTTCCATAACGCATATAGCTGTTATACACACACACACACACACACACACACACACACACACACACACACACACACACACACACACACACACACACACACACACACACACACACACACACAAATGTGTAAGTAAATAGTCTCCATTTATTTATGTATTATCAACGGTTCGGTTTAATATTTTATGTTTTTGCTAGGATTAAAGTACCATCAGCAGTGACCAATGGAGAGTGAATAACCACTTACACAGAAATATGAAATAAGGGTAAGAGAGGGAGAGATCTATATTTTTCGACCTCAGTGACCCTTTTTCAGCTTGTAAACGATATTTTAAAAAAACATCTCTTAAACTAAAAGTGTTAGAAGTCCTGGAAAACGACCCCAGCGATCTGGCCTGTTGGTCACATGACCAAAAATTCCGCTAAATGTATTTTCCATATTAATGAGACCTGAGCAGGAAGAAATTTTACCATTACTCATGACAAATAAAATATCACCTTCATCAAATGTTCATCTCTCTTGTTCTTGAAATAAGCTCTCAGAGTATAATTTACATAACACACTTGATATATTGAAAGTTACAGCCCGCTCCCACCCTCCAGTATTTTCACACCCACAAAGAGCCTACGACAGGATGGTGCTCACCACGGTCATGATGGCAGGCGAGGTGAAGGAGCAAGATGAAGACGGAAACTGTGGAGGCGCCCTTAAGGAAATGTCTGTCAGGATTGAAGGGTTGAGCCCTTAGAAGCAGCAAGGGTCAGCAGGGTATGGTTGCAGGGCATTGTAGCAGGATATGATTGCAGCGTCAGCAGGCCATTTTTGCAGCCTCAGTAGGACATTCTTGTTAGTATCGTCGCCTGGCTTGGTCACATTATTTCTCCACTCAACCTTCAGAGGCTGCAGACGGAAGTAGGAATCCTTGGTGTGGGCGTGGGGCAGCTGGTATGGGCGTGGAGCAGCTGGTGTGGGTGTGGGAAGGTGGTACACACACGAGCACAAGCCATGGGCACACTGCCTGCCCCAGCCTGCCCATCCTGCCGGCACACACACACGCGTATTGTGTATATTTAGCCTCTCTCTGGGGTGCCCGCCCCCTCCCATGTGGACTGGCCACTCCCTCCCATGTTGCCTGGTTATCCCTCTTATGTGTCCTGGCTGCCCCATTCCATGTGACCGAACTCTCTCGTGACCCCACTAACCTAGTCCCTTTTCACCTAGCATTAAACAGGTACCAAGGGATTAAGCCGAGTGTTGTGGATCACATCCTACGAATACATCAAACTGAGATGAGCTAATAACCAATGATGAGATGATAACTAACGAGTCTTCATCTCAGACTGAGAGTCCTCGATACTAGAGATAACTTAGCCATTGACCTACTAGTCACTGTTGAAGGAAAAAACGTTTGTAATGTATTGCAGTCAGAAATCTTACACGTCTCTTCCCTCTTACAAAACAGTTTCCCAATAAACCTGTTTTATATTTTCTTGTGACACGAGTGACAAATACTTGTTTTTGTACTGCGTAGAAACTGATACAAGGATACACTAGGATATTCAAGATTATTATTTTCATGGAGACGTTATTTAAATACATATAATCCAAAGACACTTTAACCAAAGAAAACATTGATTTTGCCATGTTTCATCCATAATATAATTATGTGCATATACAAAAAATATGGCAGCTTAAATATAAGACTGCATCTGTTTCATTGGTTATACGTTCAATAAAGTATACAAAGTATACAATTCATGTATAATAAGTTATATGCTTCACCATGTATACAGTTAGTTGTAAACTAATATGGATCATTAAGTATACAGTTACAGGAAATTATATTAGCCATCAGGTTTATATTCAGTTATAGCAGTATAATCTAGTATGTAAATAATTATATTCTTAAGTGCATGAGATCTTGTCCGGTACCATTAAGTTTTAAACGGGTGGACCGGTAAGCCAGCTGAAGGCCTCGTTGAGATGACCAAAAGCTCCAATAGCGGGTCATCATATAATAAGATCCGCGTCAGGAAACACTTGTCCTGTTTCCTGACTAACCTTACGTAATCGAACCTTAAGAACATAAGAACATAAGAACGAAGGAACACTGCAGAAGGCCTACTGGCCCATGCGAGGCAGGTCCAAGTCTCCTACCGGCTTAAGCCAATGCACCCAACCTAGTCAGGTCAGGTCACATTGACTTAAGGGAGGAACACGGCAACCGACCTGGTAGCACAAGCTATCAGGTCTAACTCACACCCACCCACATCTACTCATGTATTTATCCAACCTATTTTTAAAGCTACACAACGTTCTGGCCTCTATAACGGTACTTGGGAGTTTGTTCCACTCATCCACAACTCTATTACAAAACCAGTACTTTCCTATATCCCTCCTGAATCTGAATTTTTCCAACTTAAAACCATTGCTGCGAGTCCTGTCTAGGCTAGATATTTTCAGCACACTATTTACATCCCCTTTATTTATTCCTGTCTTCCATTTATACACCTCAATCATATCCCCCTAATTCTACGTCTTTCTAGAGAGTGCAGTTTCAGGGCCCTTAGTCTATCCTCATAGGGAAGGTTTCTGATACATGGGATCATCTTTGTCATCCTCCTTTGTACATTTTCCAGAGAATTTATATCCATTCAGTAATACGGTGACCAAAACTGTGCAGCATAATCTAAATGAGGCCTAACCAAGGATGTATAGAGTTGAAGAACAACCTGAGGACTCCTATTATTTATGCTTCTTGATATGAAGCCAAGGATTCTATTAGCTTTATTGCGAACACTTATGCACTGTTGTCTTGGTTTCAGATTACTGCTAACCAGAACTCCTAATCTTTTTCGCAATCCGTAATATTAAGATCTACATTATTTAGTTTATATGTGGCATGGTTATTGTCCTGTCCAACATTTAGAACTTTGCATTTGTCTATATTAAACTGCATCTGCCACTTCTCCGACCACTGCATCAGTCTATTCAAATCTTCCTGGAGTGCTCGAATGTCCTCGTCAGAATGAATTCGACGGCCTATTTTGGTGTCATCGGCAAACTTGCCGATGTCGCTCTTTATGCCCTCATCTATGTCGTTTATGTAGATTGTGAACAGCAGGGGGCCCAACACTGACCCCTGCGGAACACCACTCGTGACGCTTCCCCACTCTGATTTCTCCCCATTTATGCAAACTCTCGCTGCTATTGTCAAACCTCTCTATCCAGGAAAAATTTCTCCTATTCCATGGCTTTAATTTTCCTAATAGTCTCTAATGTGGGACCCTGTCTAAACATACTGAAGTCCATTAACCAATATCATATCATTACCATGATCTCCCCCAAATACCTAGTGAAAAAGTTAATAAATTCGTAAGGCAGGAACGCCCTTTGTAAAACCATGGCTGAGATCGTGATTAATTTATGCTTTTGGGTGGTGAACTGCTCGGCAATTATGATTCCCAAATTTTCCCTATGGAGGTTAGGATTATTGGTTATAGTTCGAGCTAAGGACTGTCACTATTTGAAATAGGTATCACTTTCATTTCCCTATTAAGGCCAGAGTTTAGAATTGTTGAAAAGATTAGCCAAAGGTGTGCAAGCTCTTTTTCCTTTAGACCCTTGCATACTTCATCAGGGCCTGGGGATGTTAGGTTTTAATTTATCATTTGCTAGGACCATTACTTGTGACCTAATAGTGCACAGTTTATTATCGTCTGTTCTACATAATTTATCATTACTGGAATATACGTGGTATCCCCTGTGTAAAATGAGAGGAAGTATGTTTAAATTCTATACACATTTCCTTTATCACTGTCAGTGAGCTGGCACCGAGGAACTCTTTGGTGGGCCTATCTTGTCCTGATCTTATTCGTATACTGAAGGAATCCTTTGGGGTTTAAAGGTCTTCGATTCTTGCAAACTTTAACTCATAATCTCTATTTTGCTTTTAAATTCCTTTTTATTTTCTTTGACTGAATATATCGATTTTAAATTCCCCCTTCCTCTTTGATTTGCCTATTGCCCTCTTTTGACCACAATCATTTTATTATTGTTATCCTTTGGATCATTTTTTGTTTGATCTGATTTCCCTTTTGAACCCAAATTCTGAGCTTTGAACTATGCCCTGGAAGATCTATCGGCAACCATCACCTACCTGACCCCTAGTCAGGTCTTCAAGTTCAGCCACCAAAAGTAATTTTTCAATCATGAAATCAGCCAAGAAGTAGGGACGGAGATTGATTGCATTATGGGGATTTGATATGTTAAAACTGAGTTGATTGTGATCACTCTCCCAGTCATCATTACCTCAAGATTATTAATTAGTGTTCCCTACTGAAGAACCAAGTCAATGAGGTTATTTCCTAGTTGGCTCTGTCACAAACTGTTTTAAAAAATCTGGATCGTATCAGAAAGTCACCACTCTAAAATTTCCTGTCAAATTGTCAAGTCAATCTGTTATAGTTGAAATCCCACATTAGCAAAAATTTTTTTAATGTTACGAATTTCGTCCATAGAAGTTTATGCACTCCTATCAAGATTTGGGGCCAGTAAATCTCGGCCGAGAAGCTGTAAAAAATTGTGGCTGAGCTTCTAATTTAATTTGTCTAACACAACAATTTAAATTGTCTCGACAAACATCGCTACTCCCACCTTCCTGTTGACCTTCAGTGTGGAATAATTTATTACCTTGTATTGACTTCAGAGGGATCTCTCTACTTTCAGATTCAGGTCTCTGTTTGCATAAATCTATGTTTCCTGCACTTGCAATTATCTTAGGCTATCTATCATTAATTTCTAACACTCCTGCATTAGTATAGTAAACCTTAAGGGAGCTAGTCCCTTGCTGCGGTTAGTTGGTAAACCCGAGTCACTGACCTTACAAGGACCTCAACCAGATTACGTTTACACATTCTGAAGTCCTGGTTTTGTCACACATGGGGAATGATCTTCGCAAACACACGCAGACACCTGGAAACTCCAGTGTCACAGCCTCTGGGAAGCTTCCCTTCCTCTACCCATGGTCCGCAACAGCTCGTGGGGAAAGCGGTACAGGGCATAACTGTTTTCGTTGTTTCAGTCCATTAATGAGGCATAATACGGTAACTGGAACAATAAACAAACAACCCACATGTGGGAGACAAACTTATGACGACTTTTCTGACCGACTAGTCAAGCAGAGATCTGTGTGGCTAGCTAACGGTCCAGGTCGGACCGATCGTCATAAGTTTTAGTCTCCTATGTGGGAATAGTTACCAATCATAAACACGTACACAAATAAAGCTTCTATCAACTTGAAGGTCGTTCTAGTATAGAGTTGTTCATGCAGTAAGTGTCATCTGGATGGAAATAAATGGTATAAAATATTGCCAAAGTGTCATCTGTTGATTTTTTTAAGATGTGAATCCCTAGCACGGGAACGCCAGCTGTCGCTTGCCAGTAAGTGGGGTCGTCCTATGACTGAGACACGCCATATTAGACATTTCTTCTGACTAGCCAAGTATCACCACCAGGTGTTATTATTCACACTGGAACCCTTCAGGGACGCAGAGACTTGGGCGCTCTGAAAAAAAAAACGAGAACATATTGTCAGGGACTATACATTTTCTCTTTTACAAACTGGTGTTTAAGTTTTGAGAGTTCTGTTGGCTTACCAAATACCTAAGCTTTCAAACTGCCAGTTCAACTCACTACAGATCCTTTTGTGGTTAGCTTGTATATTAAACAAAACTACGTATATTACATATTGCATGAACCATGCACTATAATCTCAGAATTGAAGACGTTGTCATTAAGGCAGACGAAGGGGTTAGTAGCATGACAAAATCGAATCTCTGGCCCGTTGGGGCCCACGTTATCTCTCGGACCCTCATTTCTAAGCCTGGGCAATTTTGCAAAGATCCCACCACCACCATGATGACCAAAACCACGAGCATGATAGCCAAAACCACCAACGTGACGACCAAAAGCAGCGCCGCGATGACCACCTCCACCATGATGACCACTACGAGCTCCCCCGCCACCACCAC